ATGCTGTATATTTTGCGATGCACTACTGTACGCATCCTGTTTTGAACTCATTCACCCTGTCATTGCTTTCGCCTCTTTAGCCTCTTCCAGTTCACTTCCACCACATCACCTATGGCTGACTTCACACAGGGTCTGCACGCCCTGAAAACCCCCTTATCAACAAGCAGCAGTGAGAGCGTGTGCATGAAGGACGGCCATGAGGGCTGGACCGTGTGGAAAACAGAAGACACTATATTTAGCCCCGGAGCTGTCACCTCCGCTTCTCTTCTCCTGAATAATCCTGCTCCGACAGCTGGGATCCAGTGGTGCAGAGGTTGCTGGGATGCACCGTGCGCTCCCTTCCCATTTTCCATCAACACAAACATCTCAGGAGACAAACTACTGCTGAAGATACACGTGCAAGGCATAATTATTCTTAAGTAAGGCCTGTAAGGAAAATCCATCCAGTGCATTATGAATATAGTGTGAATGGAAACAGCGAGACATTGGTGGAGTAATGGAACGACCCAAAATGCAAATAAATACAATTTAATGTGCGTAAAAGTCAAGAGCGGGAACATGAAAAAATACAAGTCCAAGGTAAAAATAAATTCAAAATTCAAGCGAAACTCAAGAACCAGGAAACTGACAGAAGAGGACCAACAAAGACAACGAAAAATGGGAGAGAGCAAAGGTACATATGGACACAGAGACACACAGGTACGAGGGCGGGGCAGAAGATCAACACGGGGGGAACAGGACAAGAAGAAAAACTAAAACAAAATCACAGACCTGAAGCGAAAATAAAACCAAGTACACAAATAAAATCCACACCATGACACAACAGGTGAAGAGGTCTTTGTATAAGTTAGTTGTTTAGTTGCCACATATTCCAGAGATCAATACTGTACAATATTTTAATACTCAGCGTTAAATTGAAAAAATAATAATAAAGGCTCCTTCTCTTTAAATTTACAAATCACATATTTCTGTTTTTCTTCTTCTCCCAAGACACATTACCTCAGGATGGCAATAGCATATTTGTCCTATTCTATCTATTGTCTTTTTACTGTATGATGATTTTAAGCTGTATTTTATTCATGAAATAACTTGTTACCATAATATAACAAAATAGTTTGGACAATCTTAATCAATAGTAACAAAAAATGATAGAAAAAAAAAAAAATTTGGCCAGAAGAGAAGCAAGCTACAACTGGAGATACTTATGCAGTGGTTCTCAAAGTTCTGGCTCGGGATGATTTCCAGACAATATTCTAAAAAGGTTTCTTCCGCAAAGAGGGTCAAGTTGATTTCACAGATATTTACTGAATAACTTCCTTACTGAAACTAATGTAAAAATATGTTGCTGATTATTATAAGAAACACATACAAAAGGAAGGGTAAATATTTTATGACAAATGTTATATGTTTTTATAATAGATTTGCAATACGTTAATGTCCTCTCAGATAAAATTCATATCTAATGCAAATATATCTAAAGGATTCCTATGTGTTTGTTACATGTGCATCTTACTTATTTTTACACATTTTTACAATCTGTTTTAAATGTCAGACAAACCACTTACAGCATTTTCATAGTAAAAGAAAGACAAAACAAAATGGTTAATTATTGTAGCACCGTAAAGTAGTATGTTTTGAATTCTGAAGTTGGCAGGTTCTTGGAAACGTTTTTGGAAGAACAAGCTGCTTCCATGTTTCTTCCATGTTTAGTATTGTTTGTACAAAAGAAAACGTCAAGTCAAGAACACGGACGTCTGTATGCATTGCCCATTTACAGATCGTATTACTTTTATGGAGCATCAGGCCTGCACAGCTGCATGGTTTTAAGGATTGAAGCTTATGAACTAAACAAAAGCCAGGAGAAATGTGGCTTTCTTTATTGCTTGTTCAGTGTTTGTACTTAGACTATGGCACCCTGTTCGTTTCCTGATATGAAGCCAGAGGTCATCTCCACAGACTCAAAACTCATTGATCCGACCAGACCACTTATCTCAGTCTCCTCCAATAATGCACGGAGCTGACAGCACGAGACGTTTGACTGAATCTGTGAAAAGGTGATGAGCGGATCCGAAAAGGCCGAAGTGCTGCTGGTATTTTTATTACACACGCCAAAGGGATGGATTTGTATACATGTGCAAATCTCTTATCTATTATCAGGCAATTATTGTTGCTCCAAACTATGGACAAAGATCAGTCATTTCCGCACTGTGGGGCAAATAAACAATCTCTTAATCCTAATTCACCAAAATAATCTAGTATACTATCAGGTGAAGTGACTGTGGATCTGCTGTTGCTTTGTTTTGAGTGTCCCACAGTATGGCCTTCAAACTAAACTCTGGACTCTTGTTTATTGTAATGTAACTCTCATTACCCGGCTAACTAGAGGGTATTGCAAATGTATGTGTGTGTGTGTGTGTGTGTGCGCATGTATGTGTTAAAAAATGTATTATGTACAGTACTTGACAATTGCAAGACATGTTAAAACTCCAAGGACAGAAGCAGATAAAACACCCCAGTAGCAGAATCTCCAGTAAAGTTCAATATTCAAAAGGATTAACCAACTTTAGACCACCTTAGATGTACAACGTTCTACAACCAATGCATAAAATTACACAATATAATCCACATAATCTTTGTGAAATAGTCTTTTGTTGCTTTGTCTAAAACTGGACACGGTCTAAGGCACAAAGTTAATGACGTCCAAAAGAAAAGGTCAGTGTTTCATACATTTAGCAGGCAAAGGGAAAATTCAGCAGCACAAGGTTGTCCCAAGTATTAGTCCAATTAGGACACACAGAGCTGGTCATTTCTGCAAATAAACACAGCTTAAACACTTTCAAATGTGCCTTGAACTTTGGTGACAAGCTATTACTGCTTAATATGGGCTTCTCTCCCACACACAAGTGGCAGTTAACCCCCAACAAGACGTTAGCTCCTGTTTTAAGGGTCGCAACCTTCAGGACCCCGATACTAAAATAGTCTGTGATTATATTCAGTTTAAATAGATGGTTAAGCAGCTGATATAAGTCTGTGTTCAGTTTAGCAATACATGTGTTTATATTTGAATGTATATACTGTATATATAGTCTCACCACCCCATTCTTTGTTATTGGTGTTAGTTTCAGAGCACACTTTTTTTAAATTAATTTCTTAAAACACTTGGTGAGTTCTGGACAAAACTAACATTCAGTATTATTTCTATTATGACAGACGCTGTGCTCGGATGCGTCCAGTGGAGAAGGGCATTCTTCTGCTATTACTCGTGTTTGCTTTCCCCATCCTTATCACAGCTAATAACTCAGCAAAGCTAACACTCACTAAGTAGCTGCCATGAGAAAATCAGAAAAAAACGACGTTATCAGTAAAATGGAACAGTGCAGCCTTTGACCGAACAAAGCTTTCTCTGGTAATTCAACAATCAATGGGGAACCGTGTCAGCCAATTAAATGCTCTTGTACCACAATCAATGGACAATTTAATGAGTAATTGTTTAATGGTTTGAAGCTCCCGCCCTCATTTAAAAACAAAAGCAACTCGCTGGAATAATATAGAGAATAAAGACAGTAAAACAGCCCATTTGCAACCCAGATGTTATCACCAAGACAGCCTCGCAATTATATCAAATCAATGCATGTTTGTGCAGCCTAAAACACACAGCAGCAGTTTTCTCGAAGGACTTCATTAAATTGTTGATTTGCCATCAGCAAATTAGTAAAACAGTCATGGGTGAAACGAGACGGATCAACCAATTTTCAGAGAAATTAAGAAAATGGATAATTGTCTTCAGAAGCTACTTTGGCAAAGAAAAACTCCCAAAAACAAAATAAAAATGAGACGTGTATAACAATTGTGTTTTTATTGGAAAGGTACTATTGTGCATAAAATCTAAACCTAATCCACAAATGTTAAAGGCCTATAAAATCAAGAATTATTTAGGAATTGTAGCCATCTCGGAGAAATGCTCTATATTGCAGGCTTAAACTGTTGAATAAATATCAAATCAGCAATTCCGAATTTAGATTCTTGTGAAATTTGTTTTACCTTTAACAAGCCAATCTACTGGAAAATGAGAAAAAGCCACTGATCTCTTGAATGAATATACCAATAGCTTTGTTGTACAAAAGAATGCCAGTAACAGACTTTAAGACCATACAGCTAAGTTGACATCCAACCTAAAGTGTATAATGTAGTGTATCTCTGGCTATAATCTGCATAATAAGCACATGTTACAGCGTGGTTGAGGTTCTGGTGAACGACAGTGTCCTGGGTTTGACTTCCACAGAGCCCTTTGTGGCCCTCGCCTCTGTCTGCTGTCGACCAGAGTCACAACACGGTCCAAACTATTTTTATTCTCTCAAAGTATGCAGCTCACGGTTTTCTCTCTATTGTTACCCAGTGGAGACCGGAGGGCTTGAGAAAACACAGGGACTATACCACAAAAAGTGTCTAAATATGACAACATAATATTGACAAAAGCAATTCCTACAGCAGTCTTTCTTAAATGTGTGTGTTCACCACAAGAGAGCAAATGTAATAAACTTCTAATCCGCCGTGCCAATAGTTACAAAGCAAAGCAATAACTCAGCAAGTGACAGCTCTAAAGAAAACGACACGATTCAGAATAAGAGTAAAATACATACTAATTACTGCAGGATTATTACGATTGTATATGACGTTAGATCAGGGATGTATTGCCAGGCTGTGAACATGGGGTTGGGAATGTTATGGTATGCAATTAAAGCTGTCACAGTGGTTTGGGAAACAAAGGCTAATCAGAAACACATTGTTAGCTGTTCAAAATATGCATGCGCTCTCTTAAGTGTCAATAACAGATATGGCATGTATGAAATATAGTCAAACTGTACTTATGTTTTGTCACTATCAAAATAACACAGATATACAGTAAAGGCAGGGTTCCATGCACTGTAGAAAACCATTTAAAATAACCACATTGCAAAAATACGTTTTCAGTTGATAGCGATGAGGGCAGTTGGCTTTACCTTTGAATGACAAGAAGATCCTGGGAGCAGACATGGGTTCCATTGATGGGGGCAGAGCAGCAGAGGAGAGGGCCAGGAGGGCCAGGAGCCACCATAGAGAGCCCCACAACATTGTCCCAGCGATTGTAAAGAAAGCACAGATTGAGCTGAGGGAAAGAAGACAGAGGAACTTGTTTAATGTATAATTACTGACCACATGTATCGCCATCTATACAGTGTTCTCCAAGATCAAGAACGTCATTGTGGAGGTGTCAGAAGTATCAAAACTGTATCATTTCAGAACAATAACATCAACATGACAACAATGAGATTATCTGAGCAGTTTTCAAATAATTTTAATCTAGATGTTATAAAACCTGTACAGCCTATCATTAACAAGTAATATAATGTTGAATTTATGTAGGAGGTTCTAAGGACAGAGATGATCTTGGACTTTTATAAACATTTATTTATGGACGTTGGTCAACCTGATACCCTATGGACCAATGGCTCCTTTGGGTGTTTTATCATTGCATTTCTGTGTTCTATTTGTTTGCTTCTCAAATCTGTTGTTAATGAATTGACAATTGTGTTAGGTCCTCCGAGGTGACTGCTTTTATGGAATTATGGCCTTACCAAATACATTGAATTGAATTGTTAATTATGTTAAAAGAAATCAATGAAAAGTTAGATTACCACTGTGGCATATAATGAGTATCGAATATCGAGTCTAATTGTTGGAAAGTATTGGAATCGAGGTTGAAATTTGACAGTACTTTTATGGGATGAGGCGTATGAGCGTCGCCATAGCTTCCATCCCTGCATATTTATAATGTTATAATATGATCGAGGCCATGCATACACGTTGCAAACTACACATTAACCTCACGACTTCAGATCCATGACTTGGGCTTCTTAATTTCGTGTGAACAGACTTATCACAAATCATATCCTCGCCACAAGGAAATTACAGGATTGTGGCCGCGGATGGACACTGTCACTCCGCGCGTAAAGATCTAACCCGCCTCCCACGTCCATCATGCTTGGGGTGCGAATGAATTTATTGTCCAACCGCGCGCATTCGCCACGCACGGCACTGATCTGCTTGTAAACGAAGATCTGAGGTCAAACTGTCAGTCGGTGGCGTAAGATCAAGTTCCCACATAAAGCCCCTCGAAGGCACCACTCCAAAGCAGAGCGTCAACCAAAATAAAGCGTGACTGAGCTTTGGAGTTATGGGCACACGCACGGACCACGTGTCACTTATACGGGCAAATCATTGTTGAAAATAATTATACTAATAAAAATAAGAATAAGAATGCAGCTTCTCTATTGGTCACTACTTCAGCGTTACATAAAGCACGCAAACTTTCCTTCTCAAAACTCGCGATTTTCTACTCCTTTCTCATTGACACCAGCCTCCCACGCACTTGACGAGACAGTGACAATAGCTAGGAACAATGTGTCCCCATTTAAAAAGTTGAATTTCGAAGCAGTTCAGCCTTGTTTCCATCTCCAACGCGCATCGGGGCATCCTGCTGCTCCCTGCCCTCGACTTGAGCCACACCAGCCTATGTTTTACGCACACGCATGACGCACAACCAGACTTCTTCCCCGTGAAATAAACACCTAATTTAAACCTATTTCAGCACCTACCTTATTGTCCCCGCCGTGGTGCGTTCATCTGTAGCTCATCCACAATTAAAAGCATCCAGCAATAGCAGCAGCAGATCCCTTCTTCTTCTTTTTTTGAGCTCCTGAGTCCGCACGAAAACGTATCAGTGCGATTATCCCCCACAGGCAAATAACAAAAGCCCGGATTTCAATTAACTTGACGCGAGCGCCTTAACTTGAAGTGATGTCCTAAATCTGCATCAAGAGCCTGGGTATTTTCCACTGAAGAGGGCGAAGAAACAAAAGCCTTGGCGCTGGGATGAGGTGCGTCGGTGCCACACAGTGTTCACGGAGAGAGCGCGACGGAGCGAGTGAGAAGGAGCGACTGGTGCAGGTGGATGTGGCGCGCAGGGGCTGAAGGCACACCCACCGGGGAGGACTTGTGCCTGATGAGCATCCCCAAAGTGTGGTCCCCGCCCTCACTTTATCAGGCAAATGTCATCTTTACGCAGGTGAGCGACAGTGATGTGGTGAAATCATGCAGAGATGACGCAGTGGCGCTTCAGTGAAAAGAGGAACTGTGTGGAGTCAAAAGTGGTCGTGTTGAGGTCCTGCTGCAGTCACATGTGGGCTATAGTTGGGGAAAGGAGACAGATAACATTTTGTAAAGGTCTGGTCCTCTATTTCTTTGTCAGTTCTGGATGTGGGTTGGATAAAGTGCTGACACGAGACTGAGACAACACAATATGACTGTACTGTAAAGGTGGAGAGACTTCACTGATACTTGTTTTGGTCTGTACTTACTGTACACAAAAGATCTGCACGGAACTTTTGAATGTAAGTGGATTTTGTGCATCTTTATTGAGAGACTGCCCATAAGCATTTTTGTTTATGTATTGTGTATTTGGTTTGCCACCGTGCCGCCCATCTGTCAATTTATGTTCAATTATTCAAAAAGTTGTTAATTTTATAATGAGGAGAAAAAACGGCATCTCAAACTGTTTTATCCACGGCACAGATAACAAGATAGGGCCAAAGATAAAACTTTAGTTTTATTACTTTAATGGAGAAAACTTACACTTTTGGCATACAATCACTTAGGATGTGCAAACAACAAGAAATGTGCAAGTGAAAATATAGTATCTTTTGTACAGGTATATAATGTACAATAAAATAGATGAATGAATTAAGTTCATACATTTATATTCCCACAGTTATGACAGGAAATCGCTTAAGGGCTGTTTGACACTAAATCAACTGCTCCAAATATTCCTTCGTCCCAACTTCTGAGGCTTTCTTGAATACAAATATTCTATTCATCTTGAAAACTGTGACACAAATAAAATTAGGAATTATTAATTATTTGTGTTTTTATCCACCATCTCTTTTTTATCGCTGATGAGGAGCTGAACCAAATAGAGACTCCTCTCCTACACTTATTGAATCTTGTACTTTTCCTGCATATCTGTGTAGCACTGCATCCCACGACACATTTCCCTGAGGACAGAAACGTTTATCGTATCATTTATGGACATTATCATGAGTGAACATGGGTCATCTGCTCCTTATGGACCAAAACCAATGTGTTTTCTGTTCTATTTCCTGTGTTCATACTGATTCTCTGATTTGTGTCGGCAATGTCAACAGTTGTGTAAAGTCTTCCGACATATACCTACTGTTGGGATTTAGGGCTGTACAAGGATACATTGAAGTAAAATTGAATTGAATCTTAATCAAATGTTGAATAAGTCCAAGTGCCAAACTCGAAAGGAAAGTGGTTTGAGTCCCATCAGTTCACAAAGTTCTTTACAAAAATACCTGGGGAGTGGATGTTTCCCACTAGCTTCTTCTATACGGATTTCGGCATATTTCTCCCCACACCTAGCCTGCCTTCATTGATGATCACTGGCAGCAGATATTCATGGGCAAATGGAGTCTCAAATCTCTTAATCTGGCCTTAAACCCTCCCCTGATCACACAGGCTTATTTTACTTCTTATCCAGTCACCGCACAAGGCAGCTGACACCCGCTGTGCATGCTTATTATTCTATAAATGATAAACATAGAGGCTTAGGTGTCACCAGGCCGGCCCTGTTACTGTGTGTACAATCAGATTACATCATGGAAGGACACACCGCCCACAGGTTCACTTAATCGAGCTAGAAGAAATAGTGCTTTATATTAGATTGTGTTACATTGGACTCGGGGGCAGCACAGAAAGTTCAGCCTCAATTTTCAAAACGCTTTGGAACAAAAGTATGCAACTGTATTTGTCGGCACAATGTTCCTGAAAGACAATATTGAATTAATCAATGCAAAACAGGCTGCACGGTGCGGCTCCGAGCTTTGATGCTCACAGGAGGAGGAGAAGAAAAGGGCACCGAATTAGCATTGCCACTAACAGAGGAATTGCCACAGGAGCTTGTAAACAATTATCAATACAAATTCAATATGCCACAGACATTTCAGCTTGACCGGAGCAGGATGTTGCGATAAGTCACTGTTGTCTTTGACGTTGTTGAGTTGTTGCAGGTGGTTCATGTGTAAGTCATTGTCTGAATGCAGAGCAGACCACACTAATAATAACCTGAAGTTCCACTCTCTGAGAAGAAATCAAACATAAAAATGTGGATTGTTTGAACAGTTTCCACTCAGAGCCTGTGCTGAGCAGCCAAGTCTAATCCTGTCATCAGCTCGTGTTGCTAACAAACTCCAACCATTGTTTTCCTTCATTTAGATGTTCTTCTTGACCTGAAGCCAACAGCTGCATGTTGTTTCCTATATTTCTTTTTAATCAACAATATTATTCCCGTCTTTAGGCCCCTGGTGGCCTTACCATCTGTCACTTGCGTGAGACAAGAGGAAAGCAATTATTGAATCCTGCTTTTGTAAAGTGGCTGCTTCATAAAAGTCCCCAACATTTCCAGCTTTTCCTGCAGCACATTTTCTCGTTGTGATCAAGCACAATGTGAAAGAAGCAGAGATCTTTTCCGGCGCCAAACACAGGGAACACATTTAGACCAACTGAGAAAAACAGCTTTGAGCTTTGCGGAGGAAATGTAGATATAAATCTAAAATCTCTTGGGAAACTTGTTATATATTGTATCACTTTAAACATTTCAGTTTCTGGTAGAATTGATGGGATTTCACAATGTGTGCTTGACTTCAAGTTCAACCTAACCATTTGAAAGACTTTCCATTTTCCAGAGTGACCTGAAGGTAACACTGCATGCATTATTGAGAGCCCCACTCCCAGAGCGAAGTGTTCACTGAAACCACTTTCCACAGATATCAAGAGTTCAGTCTCAGCACATAACATGCTCCGACACATTCACTTAATGAGCGGACATTGTGGTGCTCATGGAAACAGGTGCTGAGGAATACAAATCCACACAATTAAAGTCATGAGTTTCATTACTCTCTGACCTTTGCCATAAGTGGCTCCAGCGCCGCACAAACTAATTATTAACAGACTGTGACACCTCCACTAGGTTTTTGTGCACCTCACGGGAAAGCAATTAGCAAGTGCTGATGTGAGGAGGTGCACTAACATCTGCAGCACCACTGTCTGAGGAGAGACGCTGAAGAGGAGGACACATAACACACGCTAAAGAGACACAGAGGAGTATGCATCGCAGACCCTAAAAACACAGAGAGAAAGGGCGACACGTGGATAGTACTCTCGCTTCTCAGCAAGAAGGTCCAGGGTTTAAATCCTGGGCGGAACGGGGCTTTTCTGAGTGGAGTTGCATCTTCTCCCCATGTCTTCGTAGATTTCTTCTGGGTGCTCCGGTTTCCCCATCACAAACAAACATGTACAATAGGTCTGATTGTATAGAGTGAGTGAGAGCACTTTGGGTGACCTTTTCATTCACTCACTTTCTACCCCTTTATTAGTCCATTTCTGGGTTGGGGGGTGGCAATGAGAGCTGCCACCCAATTCTCCAGTCCCTCGCTGATCTTCCTGCAGGTGGTGGGTCCACGGGAGGAAGATGGCTGCTCCGTCAATGGTGACACAGTCTTGGTCTTTCAGCGGGGACTTCAGGCAATGTGGGGTTAAGTGTCTTGCCCAAGGACACAACGGCAGCAGACGTGAGTGGGAGCAGTTGGAGTAGGTCTCACGGAGGGATCAAACCCACAACCTTTAGGCTCAAAGGCCAATACTCTACCAACTGAGCCACTGTCCCCTTGATCTGATCAAGGCAGCTTTGATCCGTAAAAATGTACTACATAAATAAAGATAACTCAATTACAACGCACACCCTACAGAGACAGAGAGAGGAAAGACTAAAGGTTTACAGAGTGTTCATTAAACAACAGCATTACCTGACGTGGAAGCATACTCATTAGCATATACATAGAAAACACATACTTCTGCTCTTGGCGAGTCAGAATATCGTCACAAGCTGAGCTGAAAACCAGATTTTAGGTTTAAAAAGAGATTTGTGTAAAACAGTTCATAAAACCCTGGTGTGAAGCCGGTTTCTTACAACTCAACCTTACTGGGCTTTTTCACTGATTCATAATTTGAGTTCAAGAACCTGATCAAGCCCTTTGGCACAACATTAATTACAGCGATTAAAAATGTGAACGAAACTTGATCTTGGTTAATAACTTGTACTTGAGGAGCACAGGGACAAGCCTCCTGCTGGTGCCCAGAGTCAGAACTTGTTTTTTGTTGTTTAAAGTTTATTATCCCAAAAGGGAAAATTGTTTTCAATCGATCAATAAATCAATCTTAATTGAGCGCTGTTCTCATACAGAGTTGCACCGTTCACAGAGCACCAGCCCCTCTCTGATCCTCCTGCAGGTGAGGAGTCCACAGGAGCCTTGATCTTCCAGTGGGGGCTTCAGGCAAAGTGGGGTTAAGTGTCTTGCCCATATAGCTATATTAAAATCATAAACAATTATAGTGCATTCAGAAGAGGGAAGATACAATCCTTCAGCTATACACACAGCTATACAGAACGGTTTTCATCCTGGATTTCAACACGTGCACAGTAGAAGCTTGTCTCACAACTTCAGGAAGACTGTTAAATACGTGCAGACACAGTTATCCTTGTTCGCTGATGCATGCTTAAACTATACACAAACTGAGAAGCTTTGAATATTTGACAATTATTGTTGGCATTCGGCAAACCACAGAGCATGGAATGTATCATATGACAGAAAAGTTGAAAGCACATTTGTTAATCAATGTTTCACTTTTGCAAATATTTATACAGTTTTATGATTTGTATTCGGTCGTCTCTCTGTGGATGATGACGAACACATGCATTTTCGTAAACAGCATATTTTCCATTGAGACTGCTGTTTGACAGGTTGTGAGGTGTTTGCATTTTGACTCAGCTTCATAGGGATAAAAACTGGGACATCTGCCATTTCCAAATAACAGAACGGTCTCACTGTGGGAGGATGGCAGCTGCGACTTGTTAGAACCAACAGTTTTCCAGAGGTTCCCAAACTGTGCCACTGGACAGTTTTTTTTGTAGTCCTGGTTCAGTCCTCATTTATGTCTCGCAGTCAGTTTTGGATTTAAGCTTGTTTTTAAAAAAGGTTTAACTTTAACGTACAATAAGTAGGAAAGAATTATGGTTGAAACAGTTGACAACAATCTCATAGACTCTTACTGAAAAATATTTGACAATTTGAGTGTTCATGTAAAGTCAATTTAAAAGATCAAAACAGAGCAGAATTGTAACTTACACAAGTGGAGCGCTGCTTATTTGTAACATCACAATCCACATCTCACAACAAACATTTTTCTTCTATAATTTGAGACAATATTGAGCACATATTATTGTATCTGTGTAATTGTAATAGTAGAATTGTTCAGTAGAAAAAACACTATGACCGAGTTGGACAGCAGTGAAAGTAAAATGTTTTATAGGCCGTTCCATAGGTGAGGGAGGTTGTAAGTCAGACGAGGAACAGTCATTTACATTTTTGACAAAGTACGTGAATCTCTTACCATCAAAGTCTGTGAGGTCTTCAAATCAATTCAAGTTCTTCGTGTATAGCCCTAAATCACAACAACAGTTACTTTATCTCAGAAGACTTACCGTTGAACAACCGTTGAACACAACCGTTGAAATCGCAGGACACAGATCAGAGAATCAAACAGTTCAAAGATTATAGAACACAGGAATTTATCCATAATGGGGGGAGTTGACCAATGTCCATAAATGTCCATTCATGAAGTTGACCTTTGATAATGTTTTTATATTGCTTTATATGTGGAGCATTACTATGTTTGGGGAGGCAGAATTTCAGATTTATGAAGCTAAAATCTAGAACATTTTAGCTTTTATTTTGTCTCCTCTGGTAGATATCCAACGCAGGCCCAAACGACATTCGAAAAAAGACAGGTCTAAACCATAGACTGTAAATATTAACGGACCTAGTCACGCTTATCTCCGCCGTTCTAACTAATGTGCCACAACGTCCGCGGTCTATGGGCAGTTTCAAAATGGCCGCGGGGGCTGGAAAATGTAAACAAAACGCATCTGCGCATGCGTCAGCCGGCGCGAGCCCTATTAATTTAATGAGTGACTTCAAAAATTCACAGGGAGTAAACTAGACTGGTCCAAATCACTCCCCTCAGCATTGACACACATGTGGAACGGAGCTTTGGACCAAGAGCCAACTTTTGGACCATCCTGTAAAGACGTTTTCGAGAGGTCTGCCAATGCTATATGTTAGCATGGTCTAATTCTTATTCCGGGTCCACCCCCATCGGCCCGGGGTGGTATTGCAAGCATGTCAGCGCACGTCATTTTGGCCAATTTTGAGCCGGGACCGCCCCCACTGGTCACAACCCCTTTTTTTCTTAAACGTTTATGGTTAAGAGGTTGTTCCCTGAAGTGTTTGGTGTGTAAGGCTTTGGTGTGTCCAGACTCCGCTCGGTCTGTCTCTTTCACAAGTATAACAGGAGTCGTCAGCTGGGCCCAGAGTACATTACATCAGCCGCTTTCAGCCTCACCACTGTAAAATGTACTGTGAACATCAACAATGGTTTTATATTTAGCATGACTATGTGGCGAGGTGCCCTGGATGGCTGCTACCTGTGGTTGGATGGTGGTTGGTTCACTCGGGGGGGTGTTGGGTAATAGTTTTCCCAGGCCACAGTGGCTCTTGGACTGTCAAAGCATCCAGCCACACGTCTCTGGCTCCTGGCTGAGAAAGGAAATGACTGGGCATATTTCTACTGTACTGGAGTTGACTGTGGAGGAAGTAGGCTTTGAATGATGGTGATTTCAGAGTAAACAACTAATTATTGTTTAACTGTGACGCAGTATGTGGCAACATGGATAATAGTTTTTTGAAAGATATGCAACATTTATAAAATAAAAAACGCTGGTTTAAAAGTGAAATATGCAAGAGTGTTCTCTTATTTGCTGTCTTGAAATTCATTTAGAAGCAAATGTATGGTAGATGTTGTTAGGAAAATTAACAAATATAGAGGTATATTTGTTCATACACCTCTTGAGTAAATCTTTAGAGTTTTTAGGTCTAAATAGTGTCTTAACTTCTAAGAATAT